GTATTTTGTATGTTCAAAATTAATATCGTAGTCTTTAGCAAATTCATGAAGAATAAATGATCTAAAATAACATGGTTATTCATTTGTCATTTGTAGGGGATGTTGGTGTTAACATTATCAGTATCTATACCGGGTATCAAACCACCAGAATGTTCCGCGACCAATGCTCAAGACTGCAAAAAAGCATCGGTTTTACAATTAGCGGTTTTCTTTGGAGCGTTATACACATTAGCTATCGGTACAGGAGGTACGAAGCCGAACATATCAACAATAGGAGCCGATCAATTCGACGTGTTCGATCCGAAAGAAAAGATTCAGAAACTATCATTCTTCAATTGGTGGATGTTTAGTATTTTCTTTGGTACTCTCTTTGCCAACACTGTTCTTGTTTATGTTCAAGATAATGTGGGATGGGCTTTAGGTTATGGCCTTCCAACAATAGGTCTTGCAATTTCCATTTCTATTTTCTTGATGGGCACTCCGTTTTATCGCCATAAACTTCCCACGGGAAGCCCTTTCACGAAAATGGCTCGAGTCATTGTGGCTTCACTTCGGAAGGCCAAGGTGCCTATGGCGCAAGACCTCACACAGTTCCATGAGCTGCCTCCGCTAGAATACGAGCGGAAAGGCGCCTTTCCGATCCAAGCCACTCCAAGTCTACGGTATTGTGTCTATTTTGTGTAGTTAAGACTCTTTGATTCGGTTTTTGGATGAAGAAATTCGGTTTATAAATCCTTGTCTTATTTAAAAATGGTTTTTGGTTTAGGAAATTTTCTGGTTGATTAAGATTTGGTTTGGTTTTGGGTAAAAATATAGAATTCTTTTTTAGAAACTGCTATAATTATAAATTTATCTAATGCATTTTAGATAAAAGTTTAAAAGTTTTCAATTTATTCATTCGATTTAGAATTTAAATTTCAGAAAAAGTATGAATCAATCACTCTATAAAAAGAGTTCGGTTATGTTTAAATTCATTATCGGAATTATTACAAATTTGCAATAATTCCGATTGGTTTTCTTCTAACTTTGTATCATTTTGGATCTAAATAATTTTAAGAGAAAATGTAAGGACCATTTGTAGGAAGACTTCACTTCGGTTTTAAGCCATTTTGATATCCGAGTAATTCGGTTTGATTTGAGTTTAAATTCTAATAGTACATATCATGAAGTACCCAACATGTAATTAACTAACTATATGTGCTGCAGATTCTTAGACAAAGCTTCACTCAAAACAGGAACAACTCATAAATGGAATCTTTGTACTATCACAGAAGTTGAAGAAACAAAACAAATGTTGAGAATGTTACCTGTCTTGTTCATAACTTTCGTCCCAAGCATGATGCTCGCTCAAATCAACACTTTGTTTGTGAAACAAGGAACCACTTTAGATCGAAAGGTCACCGGAAATTTCAGCATCCCACCAGCGAGTCTTGGCGGCTTCGTGACACTCTCAATGCTCATCTCCATAGTTTTATACGATCAAGTCTTTGTCAAGCTAACCCGAAAATTCACGGGGAATCCAAGAGGCGTTACATTGCTTCAACGAATGGGTATTGGTCTTATTTTCCACATTGTCATCATGATCGTCGCATCTGTCACTGAAAGGTACGACTTCTTGTTAAGTTTTATGAGCTTCCGTCTTAAAACAAAACCTATAAATTTTGAACCAAAATTGTTTTCTTAGATTTAAAATAAATATGAATACACATTAAACTGTTGAATAGGACTTATACACTATTGATAACCTTTTTTTTGAAAAAAAAACATTATTGATAACTTACATTAAAACTATTGACTAAGACTATAGTATAAAAATTTCATCTTAAAACTAATTGGCAATAAATAGAGTGAAATAATTTGTCACCAACCATTGGAAAACAAGTGTGCCGTCATTAAAGAATAAAAATCTAACAAGAAAACTTATAAATGGTTTTTAAAATAAAAATTTAATTTTATGATCAGTGACTAATATCGTAACTCCATATTTTTTTTTTCTTTGGTGTTATTGTAACTGCAGGTATAGACTCAAAGTTGCGTCTGATAATGGACTCATCCACCAAACCGGAGTAAAACTACCATTGACAATCTTTGCTTTGCTTCCTCAATTTGTGTTAATGGGTATGGCTGATTCGTTCTTAGAAGTTGCAAAGCTCGAATTTTTCTACGACCAAGCTCCTGATAGTATGAAAAGTCTCGGTACATCGTATTCGACCACGAGTTTAGCGGTTGGAAATTTCATGAGTAGTTTCTTGTTGTCGACGGTTTCTGAGATAACCAAGAAACGAGGAAGAGGATGGATTTTGAATAATCTTAATGAGTCAAGGTTAGATCATTATTACTTGTTCTTTGCGGTTCTTAATTTGGTTAACTTCGTCTTGTTCTTGGTTGTGGTTAAGTTTTATGTCTATAGAGCTGAGGTAACTGATATGAAAGTGGAGGAAATGAAGGTGATGGATGTTAAAGAGAATGGACAAATATAATGATTTGTGTAGTTTTTTCTATGTCCTTCTAGTTTTAGCTAGTACACTTGTAGTTCTTTCATTACATTGTACTAAAAAAGAAAGTAATACTTGTACTAGAAAACTATTGTAATTAAAATTGTTGTCATTTGAATTTAAGGGTGTGATTTTGATAAGCTCTTTAAGAAATTTCTACAGTTCCTAAAGCGTTTACTTTCTTACAACATTTTTTAATCGATCAAATAAGGGTTGTAGGTAAACCCCACAAAAGTTCACAATCCCTAAACCATTGTATGTGTTGTGTTGTTCGTGTTTTTTTCTTTTTCTAAAGCAATTATTTTTAGGTTTTGGTTGTCGTGGGGTGTTTTTCTGATTAAATAATTATTCTACAAATATTAACTAATCAAACTTTAGATGATATATATATAAATTAGCGCACTCTATAATTCATAAACTTGTTTGGGAATATTTTAAGCTAATAGGAATCCATCACAACCTGACACATTGTGCACGAATAAGTAATCATCCACATTGGTTGATCAATCATTTATTAATGTTTTTACACTAAAAAATCTGGAGTTTAAATCTCAGAAAATATGATTTAATATCATTTATACATGTTAATGAAAATAAGCTTACACATAAAATTTTCATCATAGTGCATGTGAAATTGTCAAGGAACGATAGATTATCGGTTGTAAAATGATGTAACAAATCCTCACAATTTATAGTAAAATAATAATAAATCAGTATTTGAAAAGCTAGACTTTAAGATTGTATGAGCTTTATGTAACAAAGATCATTGAGAATACTGGATCCTAAATTTCTATTTTTTTTTATTTTAAAACCACAACAATATAGACAATTCTGTAAAAAAATAACCGAGGCAAAAGTGAAGGTAAATTTGGGGAAAATAATCTAAACGATTTTTATAAGGTCTAAGAAAACTATTAGTGGTAGTTATCCTCAATTTAAACATTACAGTTCATGATTCCATACCATCCCTTATAGTATTCAAATTATTTAATCATGAGAAGAAAAAGTCACTAATTTTTGTCTAGATGATTTTAAAAATCGCGTTACAGTGACATTACTGGCATATAAAACGTTTATTATTTTTTTTTTAAATTTATTATTTTCACATTGACACGATTTTCATTCAATATAAATAGAAACAAATATAAAACAATCCATTATTTAATTGATTTGTATCAATGGCAGAATAAAACAGATAAAATAGTAACCACTATGTAATAAGTAACACAAACAGAATCTTTTAGTGACTACCAACAACGGTGAGAAAATAGAAAAAAAAACAATTTCAGTTGTCTGTCAAAAAGATTTGGAAGATTTGTGAGAACGGTCTACACTAATTTATATATTTGACTCATTCCCTCATTTTTCTCTCCTCTATATATATGAGACCGAAATACTAACTATCTACAAACAAAGATCCATCCAAGCAATAAACAAACAAAAGCTAGAG